ATGAGTTTATTCCCAAATATCAAAGAATATTCAAAAAATACTGCATGCTATGAGTATTTCGTATTTTTTTTATTTAAAGCAAAGAAGATTATAATAAAAGAATATCATATCTGTTTTAATTTTTTTTTTACCAAAAATAAATAATTTTGGCCGTATTTTTGTAGAATGGAATGCACCGGACATTATTATTTATTTTGATATTGTGATTTACGAGAAAATACAGGTAAGCAGAACACAGTATATGGGTTTTTTGGTGAATTCAATAACAGTTTTTGTAAATATTAACTTTATACTTGTGATGTAGAAATACGTCAGTATGCAAAATCGGTAAGAAATACTTTTGATGTGGATATATTTTTGTTTTTGACTTTTTGGTTATAGATACGTAATTTATTTACATGAATTGTTATTATTATTCTTTCAGAATTTTCGGAAAATTGGCACATAGAATTGAGACATCAAACAACTTTTGGCGGTTTTAGAAGACGGAAATGTTTCTGAAGATGGTTTGGAAGATGAAAGTGAAGATGACGAACCCTTTTTAGCTTATGCAAGAGAGATAATACAAAAGAAAGAAGGCGAGGATGCAGAGGATCATGAAGATCCTACCTATAGCGATCCACCACTGGTTCAAGATTTTCCTGACTCATTGAGTAAAATTATTTCTTCATTATCCATGCAAGAAGGTCATGAACATTTTGTAGTATGAGTAAAGGAAACTTGTTTCGAAAAAAGACAGTTTGTATGATATTGTATGATGAATCAAAAATAATTCGCCAACCAAGTACAAGAGACTCTGCTATAACTGAACTTGATACACCATATAAATGTTTTTTGCATTACTTTACACCAGTTTCTTAAAAAAATTGCTGATGAAACTAACTTATATGCAGTGCAAAAAAAACCCTTTAATATATTTTAGTATTACTGTTGGGAGTTAAAAAATCTTTGGAATTCTTTTATTTATGTCAGTGGAGCATTTTCCTAGTGTTCGCTCATACTGGCATTTAAAGTTTGGGCACAATCCTGTAAGGAGTGCAATGCCGGTAAAATAATTGTTTCAGAGATTTTCATACACTGCAATAAGCCTAACTAGAAGACCATCGTTCAGCAGAATAGTACTCAGTTAAAATTTTTAATAGTAACCCTTATGCATACTGATGTAGATTCACATCGGTAAGTTTTTTATAAAATATACTTTTTAGAAAAGAAAAAGTTTTATTTCTTCATTTTTCCCATAATCTATGTTAAATTTTCCACCTCTCTCAATTTATGGTAATTTAATATAAAAATATGCATTTAAGGGTTAAGAGAGAATTTTATATTGCTTACAAGATATTTTGAACATAAATATTCAATAAGTTTTTATTACATTGATAAATATATTTATTGCTAAAACTTTTCCAGGAAAGGTAAAAGCAAAAAAAAGCAATTCAAAAAAGGCATGGGGATGACCTCTAGCAAGCCTATTTTAGAGCCAAGCTAAGAAATGCTGATTTAGAATATAAACATATGATAAATAAACATAAGTTAGAAATGCAAATACTTAAATTAAGATAAACCTGCCACTGTTAATAATAAAGATTGTATGTTTTTAAAAATAAAAGCAAGTTGAAAAAGAGAAATGTGTATTATTAAGGTTATTCTAACAATGAAATTTTCATTATACTCATTGTCTACAGGTGGATCTGTAAACTCTTCCATGTTCATAATGTCCTCCTCTAACAGTGAATCGTCCTGTAAAAGTGCAATACTGCACATGATATGACGCCAGCGGGAACATTTTTGTTTAAACCCATCCCCACTTGAATGCACCTTTGTTTTAGAACGCCAAAAAGCCGTTCAACTGTGTTTCTGGTTTTACGATGGTGGTGGTGGTTCAAAGACGGTGTCCAAATACAGTACTGTTTCTTTAGACAAGCGAAACCTTGCGCGAAATTCCGCATCCGTATACTTTTCAAAAGCATCGAGGATTTTTTGGCTTTCGCCGACACACACTAGGCCTTTCATGGTCCGAAAGCGATGATAACGACGATACAGACATGGTTTCTCGTAAGGTTTTTGAGATTTGAGAGAGATTTGAGATGCCTCACGACCGCTCTTAAATTTTTGGCAAACTTAAGTCGACATGACAGTTCATTTGACAGAAAAATGACACTGAGTGACGATTGAGAATACGAAATTTGGTTTGAGTGGCCTTTAAGCATCGTCTTACTTGAGTAGCCTCAAAATTGAGATGCGCCTTTAACTGACGTTTGAGAATTCCATATTGGAGTTTAAGCGTGGTCTTATCTTTTAAGACGCCGTTACATATTTGAGTGACGTTTCAGTATTCGGGCATTGGTATTTTATATCACATAGAAGTTGCCTGTGACTTCGTCAAAGAGAAATTAAAAAAAAAAACTAGTAATAAGAACACCCTATTTCACGGGGCGATAATTTAGTTTCCCAACCGTAAAAGATTTTTTTTAAATTGATTAAGTTTTGGAGCCTACTTAACGCAAACGCACAATCTTTCTTCCTTATAATATTACTATAGATAGCAAAACATTTTAGAATGATTAAAAAAGCAAAGTATGTACGTGATACAGGATCTTTCTGTGACCGTAAAAAGTATTGTTTCATTTAGCACATAAACACAACTTTCTTCCTACATTAAACAACGATACGAAAAATGTAAACGTCCAAACTGGAAGTAAGAAAGCAATCAGACTTTGCCGCGTACAAAGGAACCCATCAATTTACCAACAAGTAGAAAACTGTTTATTTACTCCGAAACGTATAAATCGATTCTGGACCCGCACAAAATTCCCTTTTTGCGAATCGATTCTTCAACTGATTCACCGATTTTTGTATCGATACAATAAACAATAGTTCATTTTAGTCGAGGGCATAAGAAGTATTGATTCCTTTCTGTGATACTGTCGTCAAGCATGAAGTTTATGATTGATGGTCGATAATCTTTATTCGAATTAATACGTGAATCGATTCGATCTGAACGAATAATCGAATAAGTGGGTGCCTAAAAATTCTTAATGCGATTTTTGCTACGGATTTTTCGGTTCTAGACAAACGGGAATATTTAAGCTTTTTTATTCGATATCATTCCATTAATATAATATCGATTTTTAATAGAATTTTTCAATACAGTCGTAACAAATTATTTACCATACAATGAAGGTTGGGTTTTTGTTTTAAATATTAATATTATCGTTTTGAAATCGAGATGGATTTTTAATAAAATATTTGTAAACCTAATATCCTAATAACTTTTGAGTACGGTCTGCAAAAATGAAGCGGATTTCAATTCATATTTTATCCATTATTATGAAATTATTTCAAACTAGTAGGCGCCCGCGACTGTCTCCGCATAATTAAAAAAAATATAGCGACAATGGCCTAATGGTTAAGGGTACGGATTTCCGATCACGAGATCGGGGGTTTGAATCCGGCCATTCGACTATTGTCGTAAACCATATCCTAGCACAAGCCTAGAGCTTAGTTGGAATGGTAAAAGAAAATTTAATTCTGCTAATATTTTTACTAAAAAAAAAAAATGTAATTAATAAGCCTTTGTATTCTTCCAGGCTAAGTTCTATATCTGTGCCAAATTTAATCAATATATGTTTAGCAGTTCCGGAGATACCTTGTCACAAACATCCATCCATCGAAACATTCGCAATTTAACACATTATAAGCCCTCTCTGTTTGTACCAAAAATAACTTAAGCACAATTGTAAAATACATGAATATATATGTATTAGAATGTTCTATTTATGATGAGTAGTAAGTGATAAGTGACATAGGAAGGTAAAGGCAATGGCGTGGTATTCGAGCAGTGAGAGCCGAGCGCGGGGCGCGGCCGACACTGCGCTGTACACGGGAGCCGCGACCCCGAGACACACATCTTATCGCTACATCTCTGCTACCGATCCGACCCCACGACCTCACGTGACAACACTTTTATATAGTCACCGGATAGTCAGGAAAATATTTAATTTTGACACGACAGAAATCCACGAGAATCTTCGGTACCACATGCATGATGCGAGAACTAAACTTGAACACTTTTTAAAAATGAATTAACATCAAAATAAATGTCTAATTTTACGATTTTTAATGCAAATAAATTTAGGAATAAAACCTTAATATGTTCAAATAACACAGAGCAATCAGAAATCAATAAAAAAAGGTTTTACTTCATCGTAGGATAGCATAACGACAATAAGTAAATAAAAAAAATATTAAGCAACAAAATGTGTTTCCACGACATCCTCTTTATTCGCGACATTACCAAGAAAATTAACAAAACACTATCCACGTCCCACCAATCATGGTCATCCTACTACTCGTGTCGCAAACTCGTGTCCTGCTGGGACAGAGGTAACGTAAACAAAAAACAATCACGTTTCCATCACCTCCCCACAATGTAGCATACATCGCTCTGCCTACACTGCGGTATTATCCCCTATCCAAAGAGACCTAGACATGTAAAGTGCACATTGGATAAAACTTCTGATCGTATTTTTCGTTTCTCGTGAATCCGCAATAGCAAATATTTGGATTCTACAAAGGCTTTGTATTCTGCATTTACACTGGTTTTGTGTAAAGACAGCTTTATTAACAGTGAAAACAGAAGCAAATATTACATCTGAACGCTCCCTTCGTTGCAATACCAAAGTCTAAAAGATCAAAATAATATTTATCACGTGATACTCTAATTTAGGGCGTCGATGGCTCAGGGGTTAAGTATAACTTATAATCTACAGGTCCCGGGTTCGAATCTCGCCATGTACCAATATGTTTTTCGATTTTCGATTTATATATATACACCCGACATTCTTATGGTGAAGGAAAACATCGTGATGGTGCACATATCTACGAAGAAATTCAAAGATCTGTGTAAAGTCAACCAACCGGCACTGGGCCTGCGTGGTTGACTATAGCCTAGTCACCCCTAACTTGGGTAAGTTCCGAGCCCCTCAGTGGTTACATATAGTGAGCTGATGATGATACGTTACTGTAGCCTCCCTTCCTCCTTGTGATGTTTTATGTTTAATGAACGATCCCAAAGATATTTTGCAATAGATCAGACATTGCGTGTTCCAAATCTTATTAAACCGGGTTAGGTGTTTCCCGAAATAGTATTTAATTCTCGAAGCGATTCGCATCACACAAAAACAAAGTCGATAACAAAAACTAAACGTTGTATTGCAACGATGTTAAAATCCAACAATTGAAGGTTAAGGTCGAACGATTTCTTATTGTTTTGAGAAACGAAGCGCCGGCTATTCTATTAAATCGCCAGCGACAGTTTATGAATCATAACCGATGTCAACGAATTATTGATTTATGATCAACAAAATATGTTTTTTCTCACTCACAAGACTACAAACGCCGCGGCACAGTCTTTGACTTTTAAGAGACAGGACTTGTCAAGAGCTTGCAACCCCTCTGTCAAATAAAAACGATCAATAAGTTGTAAACTTACTTGTATTGTGTGTATTTTTAATTCATTATGAGTTCATATGGATTCACCCAACCTGAACTAGGTCAGCGTGGTTGACTATGGCCTAGTCACCTCTAACTTAGGGTAGGCTTCGAGCCTCTTAGTTGATGATGATAAGTTTTAATAGACACAAATGTCAATATGATATGCACTTGTGTGGTTGTCTTTTTAACCCCGCGAAATGGGGGAGACTTTATTAAGTACAACTGTGGCTCTGTCTAGTCCGTTTCTCTATAGTCAAAGACCACGAGACCACGCTTGGCGGATACATCATTCTGTCTCATTAAGACATTATTGGGCCCAAATAAAAAGTTTTAAACAACCCCTTTTAGTATTGTATACAGATTAAAAGAGGACAATAAATATAACATTTTTTTTTCACGTAATAAATACGTTACATTATATAATAAGGGTTAAATTATGACATACAGACCATAGGAGAATTTTTTATGATACATAATATAGTAATTGTATTTATTACAGACTAGCAGTCACCCGTGACTTCGTCGACTTTAAAAGCCGATAATATTCGTGCATACATTAGCTAACTCCCGTAAAAGTCCCGTCAAAATCTTCTTAACCGTTTCGTAGTATTACACGGTACAATTGCGAATTTGTAAACAAAAACAACCAAAAAAAAAAATATTTTTGTTCTAAACAACGCTAATAAATCACGTAAGGGAATATTTTTTTTTTCGATATTAAATGCAGTCTTTCCAATCTTATTAATAATATAAATTACTGATTTTCTTGCGTTTTTAGTTAAATAAAAAACTTAATAGGTTATATTATATTTTCTTCATTAATCAATCTAAATTTGTGAGATTTCGGACCAAAAAGTTGACGAAAAATACCATTTATCACAAAATAACGATAGTAGCCCACATTCTTAACAGTAAAAATTACGGTTTCTAAACACAATAAACAAGAGTTTCCAAGTAACGTAATGTCCTACAAACTAAACATTATTTTTTATAAGAGAAGGGGGCAAACGAGCGGCGCGAACACCGAGGTGATCAACGATACCCATGGGCATCTGCAACACCAGAGGAACTGTAGATGCGTTGCCGGCCTTTAAGGATATGGTATGCTCGCTTCTTGAAGGTCCCTAAGTCGTATTGGTTTGGAAATACATTCAAACTCTATCTTTGCTTATTATTCGTTAAGCCATTGACAATGTTTTTACACACAAACGGACACACAAATC